AGATGTGATAAAGCAAGAATTAAACTTATTCAAAGTTCTGATCACCGATGACCAAATTGGAAACAATTTCCCCGGCAAAGTTAGAGTGTCAGCTAAACAGCTCAACAAGAAATGAGGTCTTTATCTCTTTTTTTTCATTATCATCATCATTGCTCGTTGTTCGCTTTATGTGGCTTTTCTGAACTTTATTTTCTTTTATATTTATATTTTGGGTTGCTTTGTTGTAAAAACTGAGTAAGGTAAACTTCACTTAGCTGGAGTTGCCTTTCTAACTATTGACACAATGACATTTAGTAGTCAACCTTCTGGATGGCTTTGATAAAAAGAAACTCCTTCAATATGGGATTTGTCTGGTTTGGGGAGTCGGGATGTAAAGATTTGAAGCTCTATAACTAAAGTCTTTATTTATTCCCTCCTGTGATCACTGTTTGATCCTTTGTTATCTCTGCTTTTTCTTTATTAGAATGTGGTGTTGTGTCAAATATTTAGGTACTCCGAGTCTTCTGTTTTTTAATGTGCTTCACTGACTGACGTGTTACTCGATTTCTCGACGGCTTCTCCTGAAAAGATTTATCTAACAAAATCAAAGGGTTAAGACGGAGTTTATATGGCGATAAATAACGAACGAAGGGAGATCCCGTAAAATTATTACAGAGGCTCGATTAGCCTGGTATATACTACGCCCATGGTGTAAGAAAAATAAATAAAGTTAGATTGTTTTTTTACTTGCTCAGGAATTGGACTGCTTTATAAGGTCGTAAAGAACTTAAAATTCTATATCGTTTTTTAGTTCAGAGGATATTTTTAGATAAAACTCACTAGTCCCGTTCACCTCTTTTGCTTTTTCACGTATAATTCAAGGACTTCATTAGCTTTTTGCAGCACTTTAAAGCAACGTAATAAGGCTCTCTGCGCTTAGTCCTCATATCCAGATTACTTATTTCTTTCTTGCAGTTCTGCCACTTGTTAATTCTTTACCGACGGTATATCCTCAGGTTTTAATAGAGAGAACAATCTTGAATTTTGCTAAATAGAGTGTGAAGTTTTAAAAGAAGAAAGAAGCAACTCAGGGTATCAGGATCTAATGCTTCTACTTCATAACTCAACTACGGCATGTAAACAATGATCAGTTATAGGGGAGCAATTTTTAAAACTAATTACAAAGACTCGTCAAGTTGACCAGAACTGAAAGATCAGCAAGGAGAGACGAAAGGGTTGTAGAACACCTACAAGAAGCCTTGTTATTGAAGTTACTGGACAGTATTTGAAGGCTAATTTAACGGTTGTTAACCGCCCGACAAACTGGACGTGAAAGTGGCTACTTTGCTGGTGAATTTTCAGTTACGATTTCTTAAAGATTTTTAACAAAATTATTCTATCCCTAAACGAAAACACTTACATCAGCAAGGTAATTTTAAAGAGACATTTCAAGATGTAAGGTATTTCATTATTCATCATTTTAAGCCAATATGAATAGCAGCGGCGTAGCTTATATAATTTGTCTTAGCCCTTGAAGTATCACTGTAATCCACCAAGAACGCAGACTAAACGCATAAAATTGACGGCTCGTTTTGTTAAACCCTGAGCATTAATTTGATGGGACTATACCAACTCCCACCCCGTAAACGAACTAGCTCCAAAATTTGTTGGCTCATTGCAGCAGTAGTATGACATAATACCGCAAAAACTTTACTCGCACCAAAACCACTAATCAAGGAGCCACAGCTGATAAACCGGTTATACGAAAAATTCGCCGTCTTTTACGTGGACTGCACTCACCTAGAAGTCACATAACTTTCCAATGTTAGAAGTCCATGCCCAGCAAAGATAGCCAAAAAACCAACAGCGGTTATCTGAGATATTACATAAAACCTGGCAGCCTAAAACCCACAGCGACACATGTCGCCACCACCTGCCACAAATTTTAAAATTGGTTCGCTTCAAGCACTACCAAACGCTGAACAAGTGGCTGCATATGAAAGTTAGCACTGTGACAAACCATGTTCAGCGTGACAGAAGTTCAAGACAACTTTTCTTGAGGCAAACCATTTCATCATTCGCGAATCCATCGGAAGTCAACAGCAGTAGCTGCAGTTCTAAGTGCTATCGAAATATCATGTGCTTCTCATCAGTCTTTTAATTAATTACACATAGGCTGGCTGTTACAACCAAAATAACAATCCAGCTTATACAAATCTTTAATAGGAAAGCTTCATATAAAGATATCTACACCAACCATCTTGAAATACAGTAAAGAGTTTGAAAGCACACGGACAACCATTAAAGAAAAAAAATAAAATACACAGCTAATTTACTTGCAGACCCTACCCAAATCATTCTCCTCGAAAAACGGGAATCACTTTCTCACTGGTGCTTTTGTGCTAAATGACTCTTTAATGTAAATCAAAGTGGCTTATTCATGAAATAACATCGGGTTTATTATGCCTCCTTCTTGCAGACATAGAAATTTGGGTATCGGCTCTTTTGTCGATTGGCGAAGAAGTCTTGGGGCCAAACTAAAAGAGATTCAGTAGTTTAAATCAGTCATCTAAAAATCTTTTCAACATCCAGTCGCCAGTGTTTTACTTCACTAGTACACTACCAATGAAAAACTCAAATTCTTTGCAAAAAAAAAAAAGTTGATTCCAAATGGTGCACTTTTCGCATAAATAAGGGGTATGTTAAGAAAGCTCGAAATGTCTTCCGAACACGGTTTTAAATATTACTGTTAGTGGTCGAGTAGGGGCTATTGCTGACTGCAAACTCGTTGTACTACCATAAATGGAAAAATCACGATTTCTTAGCGTATTAATTCCCCTTGCTTGCACCTGCAAAACGTCATCCTTTTCCTACAGAAAGAAGTTACAAAATGAGTGGTCATCACTAAATGGTTTTTACTTCCGTACCATCACTTCTCCAAAGAGCTCTGTCCCAAGAATCAAAAAAGTGAGTGACCCAATTTAAAACAGCAGACTTGAGGCAAACTGGATGTTTGCCCTTTACTTATCCTCCACCGTAAATTGGAAGTTGTAATTCTTCAAAGTGAAAAATTTCAGAATATTAACCAAAATTTCATAAACTTTACTGACACTTCTAAGAGGAGTTTTTATCTTCGGGCAAGACTGAAATCTAGGCATTTTCGAAACCGCTCCTGGTGTAACAAATGCTGGAGTTGCTGCTCTTTTTTTAGGTGTCATTCTTACTTCGGGTGTCCCATAGGCAGCTCCCCTTTTCTGTAAAAAAGAAATACGAGTAATAAATCTTAAACAAAAATTTCTCACTTAGCACTCATGTCGAAAGTTCTAAGAAGTATAACTGCAATAGAATTAAGGTTTTTACAGGGTTTATTCAAAACAAAGAATGGGAGTTCATCATAAAATACCTTTCTATCACGCTCAGCCTCCTTTTGCTCCTTGTAGTCCTTTACTATCAACTGCACATATTCGGGAGGTTCTAGGCCATCTAATAGAATTGGTGAGTCGACATGCTTTTCCTTGTACAAATCATTCTCTTTTTTTAAATCTTTGAGAATGATTGGCAATTGATTTTCTATATACTTTTGACGCTGAAAACCATATTATATTGAAATGTTTTCCGGGATAAAGAGATTCATCCGACTGAAACTTTTCTACATCTTAAAAAGACGTCATAGGGAGCGTCTGAATCAATGTAAATCAACTTAATTACCTGTAACAAAGTCTGTAACTGACCACCTCTGTTCTGGTAATACGACTTTTCGTTTGCATGGTTTTCATATCCAACTTTCTCCGCCCACAGTTCTTTCCACTCCTTCAATTTATTATACACAGCTGCTCGCTCCTCATGAAAACGAGTTAGTTTTTCAACCTCAGCCTTGATGTTTTGTATGTCGGCAGCAGTATGCACATCTTAAAAATTGAAACTAATAAAAAATGGAGCAAAAGGCCAAAGTCTAAAAACCATAAACCCTATGTAAAAAACTGGATCCACCGTTTATAAGATAAAAAGCAAAACAAATTATAGGTAAAAAAACATTGAAGCATTGAAACAAATAATAGTATGAGCTTAAAAAAAACAAAAGTTTTTGATTACTAGGATTAAACTTGACAGCAAATCTGCGATCACTCTCTGGCACATGACATAAGTTCCACAATTCAGTGAGTTTCATGACAGATTCTGTATAATCAAAATCAGCCTGTTCAATCCACTCATCGTAACTATCTTTTGCCTAAACAGATATTGGTAATTAAGAAATGAACAATAAAAACTTAATGCAATTATCACTTCTTGGCTCAGTCATATCTGTAATAGTCGATGTCCAAAATGTAAAGAGCTATGAGGAAGTTTTGCGAAAAAAAATTGGCAAGCAAGCAAAAACCAACTAGAAACAATTCTCTTCTTTAATGACTGTAAATACTATAATAAGTGATCATTATTTTTGCAATATGAAGTTCCAGATAAAGCAGAAACGAAAAGAAGTGCTTGTCACTGCTCAAAAAATCAAACTAGTGATTAGGCTTCACGCTATAGAAAGAAATGACCATTTTATGTGCCTCACGAAACTCTTCCATGAAAGTGTTGTCAAAAACTCTTTCGGGGTCCTCAAGATCCACCGTGAAGAAAGCCGACTCCAGTTCCGAAGTTGGGGTTTTATGGATCTGTCCAGCCCACCTTCGCATATCCGCTTTCCATTGACGTGCTTGATCTAACCTCTCATTTAAAACCTGACAGTACTGTTCGAGCTTGTGTTGCCAAAACTCCATCCTCTCACGATCCCAAAGCTGAAGAGCAAATGGTTCATAACCACATCAGGGCGTTTCGCTATATAGACCTATATTCACCAAAGAAGGAAAAACGTTTCTGGACAACAATGACACTACATACAAGTAACACAAAACAAAATTTACTCGGAAAATTTAAAAAGAATAGAGTGCGATTAAAAGTCAACAGTTACCTCATTTTTGTCACTATCGCTAAGATCTTCAACTTCTTCACCAATTCTTGAGGCAACTGTTAATAACTCGTCAACCATGTGAATCTGGCCATTAAGCCGATCCTCCTTCAAAGAAATCAGCCGAGTTCTTTCCTTTTCCAAAGCTTTAAACTGAAATTGAAAGCAGTCATCACAAGATCACATTCTAAAACACCTGGTTCCAGTGCAGAAATAATTAAGCAAAATAGTTTTTAAGTTATGCATGATACAAAGCAGAAAAAGAACCTACTAAAGCGATTGACCCCTTCTGAAAACCAGAACAATCAAAAACAGGCATCAATAAACACTTCCGTATTTCTCCAACATCTTCTAACCACTGACTGATACTTGAATGTACGGACTCCACCATCTTCCTTTCAGAATCAACCTAGACCACACTGATTAAAGCTTCGATATAACAAAGCTTCAAAAACAAATCATAGTAGCGATCACAACTAACTACGTCATCCATCAACTGTTTTATAATTTTATAAAAGCCGTCGACTCTATCCAATCGTTGATGATCTTCCATCGAAACGTCATCCCAAAGCTGATGTAGTGTTTCAACCGTCTGCTGCATAGAACTTACTGCTTGACCAGTATAAAAATCTACAGAAACCCTTAAAAGTTTAAAAATAAAAAAGATTGGAATATGGGATAACAGACATCCAAAGACTAAAGTAACTAACCTGCGCCTAGACCCCATATTAATCTGAACAATTTGTGGTAACCTTGCTTATCGATATTTTTCCCAGTAAAGCAAAAAAAAATCTGAAAGAAACAACAAGTAGACATCTTAAAAAGATTTTCTGGAAATAATTGCGTAAACGTATGCAGCGAATGGTAAATTCTTCGTCTGTTCCTGAGACAATCAAATGTTAAACCGATTCGAAACAACCAATAACACTAAAGCCATTCTGTCAAATTCGAAACTTATTTATACATCAGGCTACTGCTCCTAACCAACAGTCTTGCCGATGCTAGTTAAAATACAAATTCAAACCCCTTAGTGCATGCTACAAATTAACCAAAAAATAATTCAAGGGAAAACGATCTCCAACTTTTTCAGCGGTACATTTTTTACATTTCTTCTCAATTCCAATTTTTGCTGCAGGTTGGTAAC